CCCTCTCACATGACTTGCTCCATCCCAGCCTTCCTCATGCCCACCCCTTCTTTCGAACCTTCTCCCAGCACCTCCCCTCACCCTTCTAGCCCCCAATGCCCTTACCTTCTCCCCTCCCAGCATCACCCTGTCCCCCTCCCACTGACACCTCTCCCCTCCTGCCCTTTTCCTCATTGTCTGCGCTTGGCCCCCTGTCATTTGTCTCTCCTCCACCCCTGTCCCTTTGGTGCCTTCCCCTCCGCCTCCGCACAAGCACCTTCCTCTCCCAGCCCCTTCCCCTTTCCCTCTGCACAAGCCCCTTCCCTTTCCCTCTACCGTACCTTCTGCCTTCCACTTTGTGGGGCTGGAGTCTGTGTTCTGTCCCTGGACTCCGAACCCACAACTCAGCCATGTGGCACATCACAGTGTCCAGCAAGTTTAAAATCCCAGGCCGTGATGTTACGTCATGTCTGGGCGTCTCTCTACCCACTGGTTTGAGTGTGCTATGCAGGGTAGCAGCAGCCAGCGAGGGGGAGCTCAGGGAAGGTTGCGCACGGCAGGGACGGGTCTGGGGACGGGGAAGAGGCGCTCTGGGGCCGGGGTGGGAGGACACATGCGGGGAGAGGGCGTCGGGACCAGCTCCAGTTCCAGCTCCAAATATTGCTGGAGCGTGGGCACCACAAGCCCACACAACTCGCTGCCCATGCCTCTGCTGGCTAGCCGTCTCTCTCGTTTTCAAAGGAGGTGGGGGAGCGCCGGCTCCTCGCGGAACCCCTTGTTTTGCTCCGCGGAACCCCAGGGTTCCGCTGAGCACCAATTGGGAAACACTGAAGTACTCAATGGATGTTCCATTGACTATTCAATTAGTTAATTAACTGATACTTAACATCCCTAGTCTGGGCTGTGGCCTTGGATGATGAAATATGGGTTGGAGTGTGGGCTCTTGGCCAGGAACTGCGCTCAGTGGGAGCTGTGAAGGCAGGGACAGCACATGAAGCTTCTCTGATCGCTTCCCCACCTAGGGACTACAGGGAAACACTGGTGAGCCAGTGCTCATAGCTCCATCCCCACTGTGGAGTGCCAAGGCTTGGGGTTTCCCACCTACAATACCCAAACTTGCCATAAACTAGATTAAATTATGCAGTGGGCCACAAGTTTCCTTCTCTGCTATAGTAGAATAACTTTAGTACAGCAACAAATAGAACTGATAAATTAAAGGTCATCTCCAGTAGGATGAAATCTCATTTTTGAAGTATCAGCTGTTGATCAGCACTGATGTACCAGGTGATGTACAATGCACTGTGCAACCTACAGCCTCTGCCCCACCCAGCTTACTTTAAGGTTTTATTGATTGACCTTTTGCGCTGAGAATTATAGTATTTTTCAGACTTGCATCACTCTTTGCCTAATCCTCCCTGGTTGATAGCTCACTTCCTTTCATATCCATTATGCATCTTATCAATAAGCAGAATGGAGTGCCTGGTCAAAGAACATATTGTCTTTTGAGCTGGAATCTTTTTTTCTTCAGCCCTTTTATTTTCGTTCCAATTCTCAGGGAACATGTCATGCCCCTTACATTGCATGTAAAGTGTTCTCCACACATATGGATTTCTGTTTCTTGTGTTGAAAGCAGTTGGGTCAGATGCCTCTTTAGCATGGTCTTGGCCCTTATCCTTTCCCTCTTTGGATCCTGCGGAGAGCTCTGTTTGATTGAATTCAGGGAGTGAGGCATCTTATGTTGGGGGGATAAGGTGAGATTCACATCTCCCTGTGAAAACTACCTGGAAAAAGTTACCTTGCATGTGCAATCCATTCTGTAATGGAAAAACATTGTCAGTTTTTAAAAGGTTGTCAACTCCAGGATTTGAAGGATCTGAGGGCTTGTCCCATGGAATAGTTCAGCCTTCCTCTATAAGTCCTTTACAGGACACAATAGTTTAGTGGAAACTTGGGGGATGCGGTATGATGGACTTGTCTAATCCTTCAAGTTTCCCCTCACAAAGTCTTAATCCAGGGGAGGGGATCTTAGGCTCCTCCAGCTTGCTTGGCACTGGCCACTGAGGCTCAGCATTGGTGAGCCCGTGCTGGTGCTCCAGCCCTGCAGGTGAGGGGGAGGAATGTAAGGAGGCTCCCCAAGACTCTTTTGTGCAAGAGGAATGTAAGGAGAGTCTTTCTCCTTAGTCAGGGGCTTCTCGCTTTGCTTCTCACTCGTGTGTGGCCCCCGACTGATTTTTTTTTTTCTGTGGGTCAGTGGCCCCTGACCCAAAAATGTTTCCCCATCCATGTTTATTCCCACCAGCATACTTGCAATCATACCTCTGCAATGGCCCATAGAGTATAGGTTGCTCCTTCTGCAGTAGACTGTGTAAGAAAAGTTAGAGGAAAGATTTCTTGTTTGTTTCATCCTCCCATTTGTGGGTTTTTCTGTAGTAGGGTAGTGTGATTCCCAGTTAAGATATGAAGAGAGAATAGCCACGTTAAAGTAAGCTAATTAGATTTGGGCTCGACTCTGGGGAATGGGGCATGATGGAATTATTATTCATTCATGGTCATTGATGCTTAATACTTTCTTACTTTGGAATAGCAATTAGCTTTCACAGGCATGAAATATAGGAAGCCGACAACTTGAGAGTGCCATCAGCCACAGAAAATACTCCTTTGCCTGGTTGGCCCTGATAACTGTATGGACAAAGAAATTAAGCAACTCTGAAATTTAAAAAGAAACACTATGTCTAATATAAAAAAATCTGTTATTTACAGTTAGAAACTTTGTACTTGGCTCTTTCAACTGACTGGACACTCTTCCTATAAAAACGTATATTTTATTATTTAACAACCCATTTTCAGTATTACAGTAAAGTCTTGCTTATCTGATCTAAACGGGACTGGAGGATGGTCGGATAACCGGAAATGCTGAACAATAGGGACGGCAGCAGCAGCAGCTGAGGGAGGCGGGAGCCTCCCAAGCGGGCTCCGCTTTTTGTCTCGGGGGTGGTTGGCGCACGCTGCCCCCTCCTTGGCAGATTCTGGACGCCGCGTCCTCCCCCTTCCTCTTCTTCCCTCCTCCCCTGGGCCACCTGGACATGCCTAAGGCCCCGGCGCTCCTGCTTCTCCTCAGCCCGGCAGCGGCCCCTCTTCCCCTCGCCACTCCCCCCCCCTTCCCTTCCTGCCTCGGCCAGGATTCGGCCCTGAGCGGGACACAGGCCCAGCATACCTGACCACTGGGTGAGTCCGCAGTGCGGGCATGAGCTGCCCCAGGTGTAGGGTGGGGAGGTAGGGTTGTCGAGCCCGCGCTGCGTGCCATTGTGGTACGAAGTGTCCCTGGAGCCCCGTGCTGTCATGTGACAGGCGGCACCGTCGGATAAAACGGAAGGTCGGATAGTGAAAGTCGGATAACTGAGACTTTACTGTACTTAAATAGGTCTTGAACAAGGCACCATTTGTTTGTTTAGACTGTATTGTATAAATGCTAACTTTCATGTATGTATGCTCAGCAAACTACAAATATTTGGCTAGAAATTGCAGCGTTTTATAAGTAAGGCAGGACTCTAATTTTTAGGAAAAAAGATATCAGTGTGGTTTCAGTTCAAAATGTTGAAGCATCTTAAGTTTCTGATCCTTTTTTTTTTTAAACAATTTGGCTTTTAAAACTAACAATACTTTGAAAATGTGTATGTCTCAAACTTTACAGCTATGTTGCTCTTCAGAGTGAGGTTTAAAAAAATCAGTGCTTAGCTTTGGATTCTATTGACTTCTCCCTCGGAAAAGTTAGTCCATTGCTGAACACATTTCAAAATAACAGAGATCACAGTTTATATATTTTTTTAAATCCAGTACTGTCTCTGACTTATAAAACCATCATCTTTTTATTTACTTTTGGTTTTAATAATAGTTTATCTTTTTAACTCTTTGCATGGTGCTTTGAGGCCCTTATATGAAAGACTTTGTTGAAATAGGGATGTCCAGCAGTCTACTCTCACTGCTGGACAGAGACTTGGCAAGAAAGGTAGTAATCAAGGTTTATATCATATATGCATTTGTTTATTCTGTATAAGAATATAGTAGTCAATATAGCTCTTCTCTTGCTCTCTGTGTGAAACATGATCTAGCAGTTACATTTAGCAAGTATTTTTGTCTTTGTTAAAGAACCAGTATGCCCTCAGACTGTGGCCATGTTGTCAGTAGGGATGTGAAGGTTGAACCGGTTAACAGGTAAGCCTCACCCCTAATGAGTGAAGCTTACCAGTTAATGTTAAGCGGTGGAGCTGGAGCAGCTCCTGCCTGCTGCAGGGAGGGGGCTGCTCCAGCCCTGCAGGCTGGGCGTCTTGCAGGCAGGGGCTGCTCTGACCAGGACACTGGAGTATCTGGTTGCTTTGGTGGTCTGGAGCAGCCTCTGCCTATGGGGTGCTCAGGTCTAGCCATGTTAAATATGGGTTAATTTAATAGTCAAGTAACCTCATGAATTGTTATCGGTTAGTCGACTATTCTATAGTCACCAGGGGTGGAGCCAGCAGCCACTGTATCAGAGGCAGGAGGGCAGGGGGGCAAGCAGG